TGAGGTCCCTTCCAGCTCTACATTTATATGATTCTATAGTATTAATGTGTGCATCATGGGTGTGATCCATTCAGAGTACATGCACTGCTGACAAGGGGAAAAGTGGGGATAACTGAAGTGGTACTCCAACCTCAGGGGCCCCAAAGGTGTCAGTAGCCAGGGTAAAAATGCTAAAATGTGTTTAAATAACTGTGTAACTGCAGATACAGAGGCAGCAGCGCAGGGGGTGGGGGTGGCTCCCTGGGAGCCAGTGTATGTAAGGAGCTGGTTTCCTGTGTGTACAAGAAGCCAATGTGTTAACCATGAAGGTTTACACAATTACACTTTCACATCTCTAGTAAAAAGCAACACAGTAGGGCTCCAGCACACATAATGTACAGGGGCCCAAAATTACTTTCAACAGGCCTGACTACACGCAATGCAGCTTTTATTATAAAATTCACTCAATTACTGCAGGAGCCAAGGGAACAATATACAGTTATAGGAGCAAATGAAAGTATTAGCCTTTAATACGTTTTTAATGGGACATAAAATATTCTTGCACAATCCCAGTGTTTGTTATTATTTTCGCTTTCACCTTCAACTCATGTACAACAGATGAAAATACCAGTGTTAATAAACTATCATAATAACTGCCACCCACTGCTCTTTTGACAGTAGAAGCAAGATAAATGAATGTCTTTACAGTGTATTTAACCTGATTTTCTCGTCAATTAAGTACTGTTAGGCCATAAATTATAACACTGGAGCATTCTCACATCTTTAAAAAAAAAAAAAAAAAGGAGTAAATGAAAACACCCTGGATTCACTTTAAACAAGACAGATGCCCATAATCCGTATCGAGAGAAATATCCTGAGATGATCTTATATACATTCCTAGCTATGGTCAAACATAATAGCACAACCTAGCCTGCAAAAATCAAGCTGTCCCGGTCTCTTCTGTTTGTTTAAATGAGATAGCTACAAGACTCTGCTGATAGAATTACAGTGTGAAAAGCACTTGTGCCCATGAATTCGAATCTCTTGTCATATCTTCCCTAGTGGACTTTTGATGGGTGGTGGTATACTAATTAGCTAGTATGACACATGCAAGACTTAAAGTTTAATGTAATAAAGTAGCATTTTGTTAAAATGGACAGTTGCTCAAGTTAGGATACATTTGTTCTCAAGTTTGGTTTAAAATTTTGAAAAATTCAGATTAAAAAACAGAATGTAAACAAAAAACTGGAGATCAAACATTTTACAAAACATCCAATGAGCAAGCAAATTCACTCTCACTTATGCTTTCCTCCTTTACAGCAGAAAGTATTTTAAACAGATTTTTAGAGCACTGAATACTTTAGTTCAGAGCCTCTATTTAGCCACAGTAAAATTAACAAACTAAAAGGTTTGCTACTCTACCGTATTTTCCAGCGTATAAGGCTACTGGGCGTATAAGACGACCCCCTAATTTTTTAGTTAAAAGATAGGTTTTCGTCTTATACCCCAGCGCCCCTCCGCCTCCCCGGCTTTGCTCCCGGTGTCCCTGGTCTGCTGGAGACGGTCCCCAGCAGACCAGAGGCACTGGGAGCAAAGCCAAACTAAAAGGTTTGCTACTCTACCGTATTTTCCAGCGTATAAGGCTACTGGGCGTATAAGACGACCCCCTAATTTTTTAGTTAAAAGATAGGTTTTCGTCTTATACCCCAGCGCCCCTCCGCCTCCCCGGCTTTGCTCCCGGTGTCCCTGGTCTGCTGGAGACGGTCCCCAGCAGACCAGAGGCACTGGGAGCAAAGCC